CCTTCTGAGCTGGGGGGGATTTTTCTTTTCTTAATGATTGTTTTATTTCTTCTTTTTCGTTGTTTTTTTAGGATATAAATATAGAATGTGTTATAATTCGCAGACTCCCAGGAGCTCTCTTTGATGCCCAGCGTCCACAGGGTACGGGGGAAGAGGGAAAAAATGGGTCCTTGTGCCATGCAAGTGAGCAGCCCAGGTGTGCATTGGGGAAGGGAAAATGGCCAGAAGCCCCTTGGCCTTTGGTGGTTCTGCTGAAGCCTTTGTGCTGGCCACAGAGCTGCTGGGCAGGGGCCGGAGCTGCAGGGATCGCTGCCGGCCTGGTGCCTGGAGATAGCCACAAACCCTCCTGCCCAGCCAGGAAGGGCCATCTGTGTCCTCCTGCCCGTGTGTTGCTGGCTGCATTGCTGAGGCCTCTGAGGTGCCTCTCGATGCGGCTCCTCGGGGCTGCGCCGCTACTGGGCACCTGGGCCGGGCTGGGGGAGGCCGTGAAGGGACAAGGTGCTGCGGAGGCTCTGATGGGACAAGGCGCTGGGAAGGCACGAGGGCCCTGTGAGAGGGAGTGGGTGGCAGGAGGCTCCAAGGGGACAGGAGGCCCCTGAGGGGCCGCGCTGTTGGGAAGCCCTGAGGAATTGGGTGTCAGCCTTGTTCCTGACAGCCGGCTGCTCTGGCGCTTCCCCAGAGAGGCTCCCACGCCTGGGGCAGAAGCCCTGGAGGCTGGGCCTCAGCAGGAGGGTGGGGACACCCCGATGTGCCCAAACGAGGCTGGCTGGGGACACGGAGGGCAAGGGGGCCCTGCCGGGGCACGGTCACTGGGTGCTGCCAGGGCAGTGGGCAGAGCAGGGCTGGCGGCCAGCCCGGGCCCCCGCGGCTGCCCAGGCCATGGTGCTGAGGATGAGGCCCTCCTGACACAGAGCTCTGGGCCCAAAGAGCTTCTGCCTCCGTGGCCAGGGCGGCGATGTCTCCTCGAGCAGGGCTGCTGAGTCGCTGCTGCCAAAGCGGCTCTGGACGCCACAGAAACAGCACCAGAGCGTGCACAGGAACAGCAGCACCCCGAACGCCGGCAACTGCTCCAGGAGGCGTCTGCACCAGCCGCCATTCCAAAGGGGCCATGCTGTGGGCACTATTGCACGTGATTTAGCCAAAAGGCTTCAGCACACTTGGCCACAATGGCTTTCTCTTGGCTTGCCAGCATCACAGCAATGCTTGGCAGCTGCAGCTGCAGCCTGTGCCCCTGAATGATTACCATGGCTGTGCTTGTGGGCAGATTTGCCTTCCACAGGCCAGCATTCCCAGGCAGCAACATTGATGCCATCGTGAGCGGGAAATGAGGCTGCGCTGAAGCTGACGTCCTTCTCCTTCGTAACGGCAACTTAAAAACACTTGTATGAGCTTCCAGAGCAAATCACGGACTGTCTTGGAACAAAGGAAGCAGCAGGAGGCGCTGAAGAAAGGCAGGCACTTGTGGCCACCATTCAGGGCTGGAAGGAAGCACTTTGCTGTATGCTGAGGACATGGCTCACTTCATGAGCAAAGGCTTTGCTGTTGGTAGATGCTGCTTTGTTCTTGCTGGAGCCCAATCCCTACCAATGCATGGGCTTCCATCGTTCCTGGATCAACGATGGGAATTTGCTGGACCTGTGGGCAACAAGTCTGTCCCGTGTGCATCTGACAGCAGAAAAGAGCAGGACATGGCTGCTTCCAGCACTTGTCTTGGCTGCTCCTTCAGGGGCCTGGCACCATCATCAGAGGCACAGAACAGCTTCTCCTCCCAGAGTTATCCCTATCCTCTGCACTTCCCCGGGTATCTGCCTTGATGTTCACCGGGGACCTCCCTGTTTGTGGCCGTCCATTGCCGTGCTCAGCAGGCAGCCAGTTGTGTTTGCACGGGAGCTGCCACAGGAAGACACACAGTAAGTGGACAGTTGAAAAGCAGAGGCTGGGCCAATTCTTTTTCTTTCCGAGTGTAAGACAGACAGAAAAGCACATGGAAACATGACAGTGTTTTGGTGGAGTCTCTTTGTCCTGTGAAATTCTGTAGCTGCTGGTGTTTCTGTGGTACTCCTAATCCCTTCCTTGAAAAAAATCATTCCAGGAAGGAGCAACATCAGCTGACACGTACCAAGTGTTGCCACCAGTTGCTCCAGGTGCTCCTCCCAAGAGGCCCTGTAGGATGGAGCACAGCCCCCAGTGCACGTTGGCTTTGGCTGCCCTCTGGCAGAGAAGCCCTCTCGAGGCACAGGTCTCTGGGGAAGGAGATGGGCACCAGCGCTGCCAGGGCTCGGGGGGACTCTGCTTTGGCGGGGACTCTGCCACACCTGCTGATGTCAGTGCTCCCTGGGCCCCAGGGCTCAGAGCGGCATTTGTGCCCTGGCTCACACGTTCCTTGTCTCTGTCACACAGCCACCCTTAGCACCAGTGTCACTGAGTCCTGTTCAGACGATGACTTTGCCTTTCAGAGTCATTTTGCATTGGCATGTGGGGCACTGATTGGTAATACATTGTGTCCAAAATTTCTGCCGCACCCCTGTGGAACCAAACCCCCACCCCTCTGTTCAGTTATCAGGGGTGCAGATATGGGTGCTGTTGGGGAAAGTATTTTTATAGATACATATTATATTATTGGTTTTTACAAATATTAAGATGGATTCTATATGTGTATTAGAGTAACTTTTCTATAAAAGTATAGAGTTTTTTCTCTTCTTAACGAAACCTAGACATAGTAGTTAAATAGCTGATATAGGATGCCTGTGTTAAACTTCCTGCTTGGTTGGGATAACATTCAATGAACATATGATGGAGACCCCCTGCTGCTGACATGCCAATTATCAGTACCCACCATCTGTAGAAAAAATGGACCAAGCCCAAACAGGAGGTGATAACAAGGGCAGAATCAAACCACAGCCATGAAATGGACATGCTCTGAAAAGGTGGACCCGAGGAGGAGCCATGCTAAACAATATTGACTAGTTTGGGGAAAAGTTTAAATATGCATTATTGTTTATTACTATGCAGTAGGCTGATGCAGTAGAAAGGATATGTAAAGGATATCTCTGAAATAGCAGGTGTGCTCTTGGCTGAATGCCAAGCACCTGGCCACAAAAAATTTTGCTTTATTCCCTTTGTTTCTTATTGTCCTTTATTCAACTTTTAAATTTATACTGTAGAGTGAACCTTGTTTTCCACAATCAGCATGTGTAAAATAGGGCTTGGGGTGCTCAAATGCCTCAAGAAAGCACCAGAAACACCCGAGCACCACATTCCCCTCATGCCTGGGCTGAGGGTCCAGCAGCTCAAGCAGAAGAGTCCTCCAGGAGCTCAGGGGAGCAGCAGCCCTCGTGCTCCTCAGCCTGTGGAGAAAGGGGTCAGTGGCCCAAATGTGTGCTTTGGAAATCAGAGCTGGATTCCTAAATCCCATTGGAAGTCTCTGTAATAAATCTGTGGTGGCTGAGGGATGTACGTGGGAAGGGTTTGGCAGCCTTGAGCTGGACTTGTTGATGCTCTGAGCTCTGTTGTGTGTGGGAGCCTGTTCCTTTCCCCTTGCCAAGGGCAGAGTGTTGGTGAGGGCTGGAGTTGGAGGCTGTGTGTGCCCCGAGAGCCGGTACCGTGGGGCTGCAGGTGCTCCTGCCAGCGTGGGCTTGTCTGAGCGGGGCCTTGTGCCTCTTTCAGGTGTCCCCGCTGCAGTCACAGCTGGCCCAAGAGCGACAGCAGCGGCAGAACTACACTGAGAGCTGTGCAAGGACCAGGCAGGAGCTGTCAGACCTTCACCAGGAGCTGTGCTGCTCCTTTGCAGCTGTGCAAGGAGCCCAAAGCTGCTCTTGTGGAAGCAGAGACTTGAAGCTGCATCACTCTCTGAACCTTAACTTGGCACTGACATCCTTGGGCTGTGTGTCTCTGGAGAGACAGGCCTTACAGAAGGCAGGTGCAGCTCTTCTCTTCCATGCAGGATTTGTGCCCTGCTAAGAAGCCAATTTCTGCCAACAGGGGCACAAAATCCTCCCTAGGACACAGATGAACACTGTCAAAGATGAGGGCAAAAAATACCTGCCAAAGATTCTGCAAACAAACCCATTTGGTTCTTGAAGGTCTGTTTTAGTGAGGAATCTTTGATGGAAGCAGCAAGACTTTTCTTCTGCCTACAAGACCTAGTGATTTATTGCCAAACAGAGAGCAGAGAAAAAAATGCACTCGTGGCTGTCTCAGAATTCTTAATCTATTTTGTGAGCCTTAAACATTGCACCTCTTGGCTTTTCTCTGTAGAAGTTTGAAAAGCCCATGACGCACCATTTTTCCTCCTCATGTAGCTGTTCTAAAAGCAAATCTTTCCATGAATATTTGTAGGCACCAAGAATTTTTTAGGCTTTTCCATACATATGCCCTTTGTCAGGGTAGACAGAAGAATTCCTGTGACTCAGGAATGAAGCAGATCCTTAAAGAGCCTGCAGGTCTTGAGAATGCTGAGCCTTCAAACTGACTTCTGAGCCAGGTCCCTGCCCAGCTGCCCAGGAGGGCTCTGGGGACCCAAGGGAAGCAGGGACAGTGCCAGGACCAGCAGGGAGCTGGGATGGGGGGAGAGCCAGGCAGGGCCTCTCCAACAGCCCCTGGAATGCTGGGCTTTGGGCCCTGGCAGCCATCACAAAGGCCATGGAACATTGGGGGTATGACCCTGGCAACTGTCACAAAGGCCATGGAATGCTGGGAGCTGGATCCTGGCAACAATCAACAGCTCCTGGCTATTGGGGTTTGGACCCTGGAGTTGTCAACAGCTCGTGAACTTTGGGGCTTGGACCTTGCAAAAGCCAACGGCACTTTGTGCTATTGACCCTGCAAAGGCCAAGAACCTTTAGAAATTGGTGTTTACACCTTGCAAAGGCCAAGGGCCTTTGGATATTGTTGTTTACACCTTGCAAAGACCAAGAGCCTTTGGAAATCGGGGTTTAGACCCTGCATAGACCAAGGGCCTTTGGTCACTGATAGTTTCTCACTCTTTGTGGGAGGGGCGGATGGAGACCCGGAGGGTGAGTGACAAAGCCGCTGCTCTCCTTGTGCCAAGCCCAGCCGGGACCTGGCAGGGCCTGGGCTGCGCCTTGGGGAACAATTCCCTTTGGGATTAGCAAGGGATTGACAGTTGGCTGTTGCAGAGCTGGCAGCAGCTGTGGTGCTTGCCCTGGGGACAGGCCTGGCAGGGAATGGGGGGCTCCTGGCTATCCCAGAGCACAGCCACATCTCCTCCACTGTCCTTGTCCCACTCGAGGCCATGGGCAAAAACAAGGGAGCAGCTTTTCATTGCCTTCCACTGACCCAAATAACAGCACAGCCTCAGTGCTTCCCAGAGTCAAAAATGAGTTTCTCCCTGACATCTCCAAAATGATCCCCAGTGGCTTAGAGAAGGTCACAAGGATGACAGGAAGATGCTGCAAGGGCTGGAGCACCTGTGCCAAGGGAAAAGGATGCAAGAGTTGGGGTTGTCCAGGCTGGAGAAGGTTTCAGGGTGACCTTAGAGTCCCTTCCAATGCATGAAAGGGCTGCAAGAGAGCTGGAGAGGGACTTAAGCCAGGGGCCTGCAGGGACAGGACAAAGCTTCCCACTGAGACATGGCAAGGATGGATGGGATATTGGGAGAGAATTCTGCCCTCTGAGGGTGCTGAGGCCCTGGCACAGCTTGCCCAGAGAAGCTGTGGCTGCCCCTGGATCCCTGGGGGTGTTCATGGCCAGGTTGGACTGGGCTCTGGGCAGTTCCCCTTCTGGTGTTCTTAGAAGTGATGAGACACCTTCCAGCTTGTTGGTTTGTGCTTCTGTCAAAGTCCTGGGCTGAAAATATTGCCAAGGAGGGGAGGAAGAGCTCAGCTGGAAGTGCTGTGCTCTGGGACAGGCTGGGAAGCGCTTAGAGGCAACTGCCTCAGGGGCAGCCAGGCAGTCTGAGTGTGCTCTTCCCTGTGCACTTGCAGGGAGCTCGAGGGCTTTATCACCAGGGACGTTCCTCCAGAGCCCCTGAGGTGAGTAAACTGTGCTGAGCTGGCTGGCCTTTTGAAACTGGTTCTCCATGAATGGACAGTGGATCTTGTGGGATCGGAAGAGGCATCTCAGTGCTACTTTGGAACAGGAACAGAAAACCTGACTAACAGCTGGATGTGGGCTTTCAGGTGCTGGTAGATGACGGTGACAGCATGGCCAATTCCATCATCTGCACCAACAATCCTGGAAACATCCTCTCAACTTTGACATCCACTGATGAGCAGCATCCCTTTGAATTGGCTCAGGAAGCTACAGAGAATTGTGAGCGCATGTGGCAACAGTTTGATCAAGTAGAGGCAAGAACCCAGAGGATCAGAAGCCAATACCAGATCATAGACTCTCTGCTAGAAGAAATCAGAAGGTGAGCATTTCCTCCTCCTCCTCCTCCTCCTCTGCCTCCTCCTCCTCCTCCTCTGCCTCCTCCTCCTCCTCCTCCTCCTCCTCCTCCTCCTGCATCCGAGAGGCAATGTGCTTCCAGGTCTGGGAGGTCAGAGGTGTCCCGGGTGAAGAAATCACCTGCCCACCATCTGTGGGCCTCAGTGTGGCTCTCGAGCATTGTCCTGTCTGGGTTTTTCATGCTCTACTGTGACTCCCAAGGCTGTCTGGGAAATGCAGAGCCATGTTGGAATAGAAGACTCCTTCCTTTTGTCGTGCTGCTTCCCTGAATTCTGTTCTTTGTGTGCCCCTGCCCAGCCACTGCTTCTGGCTGAAGGAAGGCAAAATCCTGCCTTCCTTTCCCTTTGCCTCTGGAGGATTTCCTTGGAAGGGGAAGAGAAAGGTCTTCCTTAGCCCACTGCCCCCAGCTCCATCCTGGAGTGCTGAAAATGGCATTGCTGACTCTTCAGGCCTCTTGCTTCTTCTGACTGAGCCTTGTCTCTGCAGTGACTGTGCAAAGTTTGAGAAGTCCAAGGAAATGCTGCTGCAATGCACTGGAATCCCGGAGACAGGAGCCTTTTGTCTGCAGCAGAAGAACACCAAGCAGCAGAAGGAAGCATCAGCCCAGGCGGAAGAGGCAGAGCAGCAGGACAGGATGGAGGTTGGTTTTGGAAATGAGACTGGTTTTCCCTTGAAAAGTTGTCTTGCTCCTTCTTGTACAGTGGAGGAGTTGGCCGCACTCGGGGGAGAAGAGCCATCCTTGCAGAGGCAGCTGGAATTCAAGAGGAAGACATCGGAGCAATTGCAGCTTGAGAGGGATGTGCTGGAGCAAGAGAGGGATGATGTTAGCAGGGCTCTGAACACCTTATTGCTAGGCAGCACCTGTGGGAGTGGGAGTTGTGGCAGCCAGATCAGCCCAGATGCTCTTTCTGGCACTAGAAGACAGGCACACTGCTGTGCACACCTGGCTCAAGATGGCACACACATTTCTTAGCCAGGGATATGCATGTTCATCAGCAAAGTGTTGCATGCTTCTGCAAAATGTGTTGCTTTGGGCAGCCACAGAGCCTCTAAAAGAGGGAAGGGAGCTGGGGAAACTTTGAGGCCAGAGCACAGGTGCTCCTTGCCCTCTGGCTGCCTGTCAGGTGGCTCTGGCTGGCTCTGCACAGGGCTCCCCAGGAAGGGCTCCAGCTGTACCTTGTCCCACTTGCAGGTTTCCCAGGAGCAAGAGTCACCGAGCCGGTGTCTGGAGCAGCTGAGCCAGGAATCCTCTGGCCAAGGGCATGAAGTGGCCCAGGTGGGCAGAGACGAGGAGCTGCTGGCCCAGAAGGCTGACCTTGAGGGGCGACTGGCAGCCTGCGAGGGGCTCCGAGAAGACCTTTCCAGGCAGCTGGCAGAGACCAGGTAAAGGCAAGGAGTTGAAATTTTTCAGATGTTTTTCCATTCCATGGGCGGAATATGGAAGAGTCTCAAAAAAAAAAATTAGGCCACAATGTGAAGGTTATTTTTCTGGCATGTAAAGCCAGCAAAGGTCTTGTGAGCCTTGGGCTCCTGTTTGTGCCACCGAGCACACTCCTGTGGGATGTCAAATGCAATCCAGCCAGCCCTGAACTGAGGAGTACTTCAACCATGCAGATGCTGACTGAAACCTCAAGTTTCTCTTGGGTTTGGTTCCTCGTTCTGGGCATTGAACATCCCTCGTTCCTTTCTGAGTAGCTTGCCATGATCCTGATCTTCAGACCAGGAAGCTTCATCTTCAGCATTCCAGGCTCTTACCTTGGCACGCTGGGAGTAGCACGCTGCCATTCAAGGTGAAGCCAGAGGCTCCTGCTGAAAATCTTGAGGCATTTCTGCTTCCAAGCACACTCTTGAGACGTGAGGGACAGGACCTAGAGCTGGTTAGAGAGCAGCAGGGAAAGCTCTTTGGAATTGTCAACAGCCTCTGGGCATTCTTGCTGATTGTTGATGGGCACCCAGCTGCCAAACCTGCCAAGGTCCCTTTGCATGGTCCCTCTCACTGTGTAAGGAAGGACAAGTCCCTTGGGCTCCTGCCTGCTTGTTCAGCAACACTCAAATAAAGGCAGCAAGTCTACTGCTTGACCTTGCAGGGGTTGAAACTGGATTTTCTGCATTCAGGTAGTTGTAATTTGGACAAAAACTGTTCTGATTATTTACAAGTGCTGCCATGGCCATGAGATTTTACTGGATCTGCAAAGTAGTTCTGAAGCCTCGTTAAATACAGGGTGTGTGGAAGATGATGTACCTTTCTGTCCATTACCAAGAGCATTAAAATGTCAGGAGTCAGCCAGGACAAGAGTCTGTTCTGTCCCCCTGCAGAGCAGCTTGGAAGTGCTGATGAGAGAAGGGCTGTGAGCAGGGGCTGGGCTTTTGCTTGTTGCTCCAGCCTGTTTGGGCACAGCTACCCAGAGTCACAGGTCAGGAACAGCAAGTGAAGGTTTGGCTGTTGTGGCCAAGTTGGGCTGGGCAGTCTGTGCTAGGCCAGGCCATAAGGAAGGCCTGGGCAGTCCCTCAGAGGCCCTGCTCTGCTCTGGAAATGGCCCAGATGTGCCTTCTCGGGACAAGTTTCCAGGTGACCCATTTTCCATCCTCATGCGTGGAGATCTTGAGCCACATCGTCCTGGAATAAGCGGCTGTGGGTGTCTGGAGCAAGCAACTCATGTCTGGCCATATTTGCAACTTGTAGGTCAGCAAAGGAGAGCCTGCAATCCAGGCTGTGTGCTGCTCAGCAGCAGATATCACAGCTCAATATCACCAGGAAGTGTGTGGAGGCAGAGCTGCAAGGGGAGCTGCAGGCAGCTCGCAGAGAAGTCCAGGCAGCTCAGAGGATGCACCAGGAAGACCTACAAGGCCTCAAAGCGGAAATGAATCTCCTCCTTGAGCAGAGGGAGGCTCTACAAAAGAGGGAGTGGACTCAATGGGAAGAAGTGGCTCAGCAAAATTCAAAATTGCAGGCTTCAGTGAATGCCCTAGAGAGGGAAAAAGCCAGGTAAATGAAAGCCTTGGGGATTCTGCATTATGCTGATTGGATTCCCTCTTTGCCGTCTTTGCACCTGCCAGGGGCTCTGGCAGCATTTCCTAAGTGGCAGATTCCGAACTCTCCGTGAAGACACGACTCGTTGTTTGGATGTTGAGTTTCATTTTCTTTTCTTTTAGGCCTTCAGATAGAGTTTTTCTGTAGACAAAGGTTTTTGGGGTAGCCCTTTCCCTCAAGGGGACATTGTGTTGTTAGGTGGGTGTGTTGACACTGCCCCAGCTGCACTGTAAAGAGCTGGATCCATCCATCAGCTCCACCTTGGGGCCTGTAACTTGAAGCCTTTGGGGTCTGGATCAGCCTGGCATCTGATGCTTTTTCTGGGCAGAACCATCTTAAGGCCCTGATTGCTGCTCTAGGCCAGATTGGCCTCGGAGGCAGCCCAGAAACAAGAATGTCTCTGTTGCATCGTTCCTCATCAAATGTCCCCCGGGGCCTGCAGGGGGTCAAGCAGGGTCCCTGCCACCCTGCACAGTCACAGGCATTTCTGACTGTGCAAAGAATGCAAGAAACAGGACCAAGGTATGGGGGGGCTCCTGCAGCTGATCAAGTCCAGCCAGGCTTCAGTGCCACAGGATTCTTCCTCCAAGAAGGAGACAAAGGAAAGGCAGGGCACTCCTGCTTGCCTGGAGCCTTCTGCATCTTCCATGAGGTTGTGCTCCAAGCCTCAGTTGCCACTTTGGCCTTTGTTTCTCCAGCTGAAAGTAGGATGGGTGCTGGTAAATGTTAGGGAACTTGCCAGAGATGCCCTGGCTCTAGGGTGCTGCTCTTCCTAACTGGATGTGTGAGATGGGGGAAGGAAATGTCTCTTCCATGCTGACCAAGCCTCCCTGCTTTGGAGCCTGGTTAGTCAGAAGGAAATTGTTCCTCTCCCCTAATGTCTTCATTGCAAGACTTCGTTACGTTTGTATTCACATTCCCATCTCAAAAAGAAGGTAGGGCATGGAGGCAGGAACTCGTTGTTCTTTCAGGGACAAAAGCAGAGCAGGCACATTCTGGGCTGAGACTGCAGGGGGAACAAACAGCCAAGTTGTTGAGAGAAACCTCATCAGGCAGAGCAGTTTTTCCGTGCAGTGGTGAAAGTCCTAAGAGTTGATAAAATGTGATATAATTTAGTAATGAGTCACGTGCTTCCCTTCCAGGCTGATTCTGTCTCTGGAGGAAAAGAATGTGTGCCTTACAACACTGGAAGAACAGAACCTGACACTGAAAAATCAGGTGTCTCGGTGTCAATCTGCTCTTCAGACAGCCAAACAGCTCTCTTCAAACCGCGCTGCACAACTGCGGGAGCTCAACAAACAGGTAAGCTGTGCAGTGGCATCCTCTTCTCCAGGGACACACAACAGCACCTTTGCCTTGGAGGCCCCAACCTCTTTCCCCTCCCAGCAGCATCCACAGCTGCCGTGTTCTGCCCGGGGCTGCTGCTGCACCCTGAGCCTGAGGCTGGATCTGGTGTCAGCTGCAGAAGTTTTCCTCCATCCTCTCCCAGGTCCCAGCAGGAAATGTGGGAGGAGAAGCAGCAGCAGACTCCTCTGGAGCTTCTCTGTCCCTCTGTTAGCAGTGTTGTCCCAGACAGAGTTGGTGCCTGTGCCAGGCTCTGAGCAATGTGGGGACACAGAGGTGGCTGTGGCAGGCTGGGCAGGGCACTTCCAGCACAGCCAGTTCAGCCGCTGTTCAGAGCTGCAGCCCAAGGATGCCCATTGCCTCCCTTTCCCTGTTTTCCTCTCCATTTGCCTCCATTGCAATCCGTGCTTCTGTGCCTTCTGGGTTTGGCATGATTTTGCCTGAAATAATTTCCCCTTCGTTGCTCTCCCTGCGGCCCACTCTGCTGCCTCATGAGCAGCCCTGTCCCTGAGGCTGTGTTCATCCATCTTCCAGATCCAGGCCCTGCAGGATGCAGTGCTGCAGATGGAGGCTTCCCAGGCAACTCGGCAGAAGCAGCTGCTGAAGGATCTGGAGGAGTCCCAGGCAGGAGAACGCTCTTTGAGGGACTCTGTGCACGTGCTGGAGGCTGAGGTGTCTGATCTGCGTGTAAAGCTCCAGAGATCTGATGACAAAGCTCATGCCTTGGCCATACAGTATGAGGCTGTGGAGTTGGAGCTGAGGAGAACACAAGCTCAGAGAGACAACCTCAGAGCCTTCAACCTCGAGCTGCAGAAGGAGTTGGAGGAAATTGAGCAAGGTACAGCTTCTCCTCTCCCACTCACTGTCCCATGCTGTCTCACCAGCTGAGGAGCTGTAGGTGGGTGCCTCAGCTCTATTCCCCCCAAACTCCAGGCCCTGACAGAGTCTCCAGGCTCTTGGCCTCTCTGGAGCAGGGCTGCACAGGCATCTCCTCTCCTTTGTCTCTCTTGAGTTGCACACCGTTTACAAGGCCAGGACCAAACACACTTTCCTATCCCTCTGAACCTTTCATTCCTGTCTTTTTCTCTGCCTGGAATTTTCCTTCATTTCTCTCAGCTTTGGAGCCTTTGTGGGTTTAGGGCCTGGCAAACACAGGAAGGTAGAGAAGACAGTGCTGTTGTCTCTGCATGATGCGCATAAGTTTGCCTTTGCTTTGCTTTTCTCCTTCTACTTCTCCTTCTCCTTTGCTTCTGCAGAGCAGCAGCATCAGGAAAGCCTCAGGCTTCAGGGAACTGCTCAGCAACTGGAAATAAAGAAGCTCCTGCAAGACCTGGTAGGGGACAATATGCTTGTGAATTGTCCCAGCCAGCCCTGTGGGTTGGTGTAGCAAAAGCAGAGGCTGAGGGTGTGAAAGGGCAGCAATTCTCTGCCAGAGGCCTCCCGCTGCTGGGCTGGGCAGCAGAGCCAGCAGCTGAGACTTGGAGGAGCATGAAGGCCCCCAGGGTGGTGCTGGGACAGTAAATGCAGCCATGGCTTCAGGGAGGGTGTAAGAGGAGTTCCAGAGCAGGTTGGGCTGTGCCCACCCAAAGCGTGGCAGCCCAGGGCAGGATCATCCCCGAGTCCCACCTGCCACAGAGCAGATGCCAACGTGGAGCAGATGCCAACGTGGAGCAGATGCCAACAGTGCTGGTGGCTGCAGGCTTGGGAACTCATTTCCTTTCTTGCTGTGCTCCCATGGTGGACAGAGGGATTAGCTTTGGGCTGGAAGCAAATGGAACAGGCCCCTTGTCCCTGGTCCTTCAGTCCTTGTGACTGGGGCAGCAGAGAGGGGAAGGTGACACCTCCTCTTCTGAGTGCTTGGACTCGGTGCTTGGGAAGGTCTTTGCCAGCAGAAGAGATTCCACAAGTCTGTGAATCCTGCACCTGCTGAGCCTCCTTTTGAATTCCCTGACAGGACACAGTTTCTGGTGTGCAGAAAGCCAGTGCTGTTGTCTTTTCCAGTTGGGGGTTGTGGAAGGGATGGAGCTTCACATCTTTCAGCCATGAGCTTGCCTGAGACTTCATCTTGCAAATTTTTCCTCCCCTCCTCAGGCAAGTGAGCGTGAAAGGCACTGTGCAGAGATGCAGGAGACGCTGGAGCAATGGGAAAAAGAGAAGGCAGAGAGAGAGCAGGAGCACAAGAAGGAGCTGTCTGAGATGAGGCAGAAAGTTGCCACCCTGCTGGCACAACAAGAAGAGGAACGAACTAGATTTGAAAATGCCAAGCAAGAGGTAATGATTGTGAAAGGAGAGAGAACTGGTGTGATTTTTTGCAAGGCTGGAGCTGTGGGAGATGGCAGGATATGGGGCTGTGTGGAGCATGCCCTCCGTGTCTTCTGCACTGAATTAGGGGAGGTGAAAGCTGAACGGGGCTGTCTTTGGCACCAGGAATGAGCCCTCTCATAGGAAGCCAGGCAGAAACATCAGCTGTCAGCTGACAGTTTTGTGCTGCTCTTGTGCTCTGTTGTTCCAAGATGTACCTCAGGGTATCTTCACTGTTCTCCTTCTGCTGCCCTTTTGGTGTGTACTGGTAGATGTTCATGGCCAAGGTGAGTTTGTAGGACTTTTCTTTTGTGGGCATGCAGAGGGTGCAGCAAGAATGCTGACAAGAGAACAATCTCTTTAAAGGCTTGCCTGGAGTATTTCTGAACAGCAATGCAGAGATGTCTTCTGGGCTGTGTTTTAAGTCACTTCCTGGGAAGCTGTGTCTCCCCCAGGGCAGGCAGTGGCCCAGGGCAGCAGCAGCCAAGTGCTCTGAGAGCACGTGAGCCCATCAGTCTTTGCCCCTTGCCACGGGGATGTTGCAGGAGGAGTGTGAAGCCCTCTGCTCTTTCCTCCTGTGCAGGTCCTGCTGGAAGAGCAGAAGGAGAAGAGTGCTTTATCAGAGGCACTGCTCCAAACTCAGGGAGAGCTCAGCCGAGCCCGCCAGCAGGTCCAGCAGCTCAGGCAGGAGGTGACAGAGCAGCGAGAGAAGGGGCAGGTAAGTGTGAGTAGGCAGGCAACAGAGGGCAGGGCAGTGACAAGGGCACAAAAGGCAGCTCCTGGGACTGAGGAAGCAAGGGCTGCTTCAGGCCCTGGGAGCACAGAGCCTGGTAAGCTCCAGAGCTCAGCCCCAGGAAGGAAGGCTTGCACTGGAAGCAGAGCTGGGTAGAGAAGCCAAAAGAAGCAGCCGAGGGAATGGGATTTTGAGGCAGCAAGTGGAAAAAGCTGAGCCTGAGGGCAGGTCCCAGGAAGTTGCTCTGCATTTTGTTGCCAGACCATGAAGGCAAATCTGCAAGCTGAGCTGGAGGAAGCTCACAGTGAAGCCCAGGCAGCGCAGAGGAGGCACGAGGAAGAGCTGCAAGGCCTCAAAGAGGAAATGAATCTCCTCCTTGAGCAGAGGGAGGCTCTACAAAAGCAGGTGAGTGTTGTATTGCACTTCATAATCTGTGTCAGAAATAGGCTGATGCTTTTCCTTTAGTTTTAACAGAAAAAGGGGGAGGTGTTGTATTGCACTAAATAGTTCATTTAGTTGCTGTTTTTGCACTGGGGGATTAGAGTATTTGCACTGAGTGGTTGTCATATTGCACTGAATAGTTGATGTTATATCACATGTTTGTTCTTCCCCCCATCACATGGTCTCTCCTTCAACCGCCCCAGTACCCCCCCGGTGGTCTCTTCTTGGGTTACCCTTCCCCACTCCTCACTGGTATCCCATGGGCTGTGGACCTCTTCCTCTGCCCCCACTCAGTACCCCGGGCATAAAAGTCCCCTGTCACCAGGGAACGCCCTCTTCTGCCATCTGTCCATCTGAAGTGTCCCTTGGAATAAAGAGAGAATGTTACCACGTGCAGAAGAACGCTTCTCAATCTTTTGCTTTTGTCTATGTAAGACTGTGTGGGCTGGGGTCAATAGTTAGCCAGAGTGGACCCCAAAGAGCCCGTCCGAGACACAGTCTAACAGGTGAGTGAGAGAGCAGTGGCACTGCAGTCATGCTGGGAGGGGTCTGTGGCCTTCTTGCTTTTCCATGGCAGAGCAGCAGCTGCTGGGCTGAGCCTTGGGGCTGTCTCGTGCTCTGGGGGCTCCATGGCAGCTGCTCTGAAGGACACTCAGTGCTCTGCTGAATGTCAGCTGCTGCTCTGGACAGCTGGGCTAGTCCTCTGTGCTGTTGGCCAGCAAGCAGCAGCATGGATTCCTGCTGGCCTCTTCTTGCTAGCCTTGCTTTGGCAGGTGTTTTCTCAGGTGCACTGCTTGGTGGTGGGCCACTTAGAGTCTGATACAAGTTGTCCATATCCTTTGTGAATCTGGTGCTCTCAGGACAGGGAGGAGAGGAAAGTTGTCCTTTACCTTTGCTCACAGCCTGTGCTGTGGCTGACTGTGACTGTAGCTGTGGCTGTAGCCTCTGACTGCTTTGTTCTGTTTGACTGGAGGTGGCAGAGTTGACATCTCAGCTGGCAGCCTCCCGAGAGTGCCAGGAAAGGACTGTGCAGAGAGCCCAGCAAGATGTGAGGGAGGCCCAGGAAGAGTCCAGGCAGAAGCTGCTGGAGGCTGAGCAGACCCAGAAGATGCTGGAGGAGGCAAAACATCAGAAAAAGGAGCTGCAAGTGCATCTGGAGTACTTGGAGAGGGAATGGAGTCAATGGGAAGAAGTGGCTCAGCAAAATTCAAAATTGCAGGCGTCAGTGAATGCCCTAGAGAGGGAAAAAGCCAGGTAAATGAAAGCCTTGGGGATTCTGCATTGGGGTGAATGGATTCCCTCTTTGCCACCTTTGCACCTGCCAGGGGCTCTGGTAGCATTTCCTAAGTGGCAGATTCCGAACTCTCTGTGCAGACACGTCTCATTGTCTGGATGTTCTCTTTCATTTTCTTTTCTTTTAGGCCTTCAGATAGAGTTTTTCTGTAGACAAAGTTTTTTGGGGTAGCCCTTCCCCTCTAGGGGATATTGTGTTTTTAGGTGGGTGTGTTGACACTGCCCAAGCTGCACTGTAAGGAGCTGGATCCATCCATCAGCTCCACTTGGGGCCTGTGACTTGAAGCCTTTGGGGTCTGGATCAGCCTGGCATCTGATGCTTTTTCTGGGCAGAACCATCTTAAGGCCCTGATTGCTGCTCTAGGCCAGATTGGCCTCGGAGGCAGCCCAGAAACAAGAATGTCTCTGTTGCATCGTTCCTCATCAAATGTCCCCCGGTGCCTGCAGGGGGTCAAGCAGGGTCCCTGCCACCCTGCACAGTCACAGGCATTTCTGACTGTGCAAAGAATGCAAGAAACAGGACCAAGGTATGGGGGGCTCCTGCAGCTGATCAAGTCCAGCCAGGCTTCAGTGCCACAGGATTCTTCCTCCAAGAAGGAGACAAAGGAAAGGCAGGGCACTCCTGCTTGCCTGGAGCCTTCTGCATCTTCCATGAGGTTGTGCTCCAAGTCTCTGTTGCCACTTTGGCCTTTGTTTCTCCAGCTGAAAGTAGGATGGGTGCTGGTAAATGTTAGGGAACTTGCCAGAGATGCCCTGGCTCTAGGGTGCTGCTCTTCCTAACTGGATGTGTGAGATGGGGGAAGGAAATGTCTCTTCCATGCTGACCAAACCTCCCTGCTTTGGAGCCTGGTTAGTCAGAAGGAAATTGTTCCTCTCCCCTAATGTCTTCATTGCAAGACTTCGTTACGTTTGTATTCACATTCCCATCTCAAAAAGAAGGTAGGGCATGGAGGCAGGAACTCGTTGTTCTTTCAGGGACAAAAGCAGAGCAGGCACATTCTGGGCTGGGACTGCAGGGGGAACGAACAGCCAAGTTGTTGAGACAAACTTCAACAGGCAGAGCAGTTTTTCCGTGCAGTGGTGAAAGTCCTAAGAGTTGATAAAATGTGATATAATTTAGTAATGAGTCACGTGCTTCCCTTCCAGGCTGATTCTGTCTCTGGAGGAAAAGAATGTGTGCCTTACAACACTGGAAGAACAGAACCTGACACTGAAAAATCAGGTGTCTCGGTGTCAATCTGCTCTTCAGACAGCCAAACAGCTCTCTTCAAACCGTGCTGCACAACTGCTGGAGCTCAACAAACAGGTAAGCTGTGCAGTGGCATCCTCTTCTCCAGGGACACACAACAGCACCTTTGCCTTGGAGGCCCCAACCTCTTTCCCCTCCCAGCAGCATCCACAGCTGCCGTGTTCTGCCCGGGGCTGCTGCTGCACCCTGAGCCTGAGGCTGGATCTGGTGTCAGCTGCAGAAGTTTTCCCCCATCCTCTCCCGGGTCCCAGCAGGAAATGTGGGAGGAGAAGCAGCAGCAGACTCCTCTGGAGCTTCTCTGTCCCTCTGTTAGCAGTGTTGTCCCAGACAGAGTTGGTGCCTGTACCGGGCTCTGAGCAATGTGGGGACACAGAGGTGGCTGTGGCAGGCTGGGCAGGGCACTTCCAGCACAGCCAGTTCAGCCGCTGTTCAGAGCTGCAGCCCCAGGATGCCCATTGCCTCCCTTTCCCTGTTTTCCTCTCCATTTGTCTCCATTGCAATCCGTGCTTCTGTGCCTTCTGGGTTTGGCATGATTTTGCCTGAAATCTTTTCTCCTTTGTTGCTCTCCCTGCGGCCCACTCTGCTGCCTCAGGAGCAGCCCTATCCCTGAGGCTCTGTGCATCCATCTTCCAGATGCAGGCCACGCTGCTGGCAGAGCTAGAGAAGAGAGAGCACCAGGCAAGTCAAGAGAAGCAGCTGCTGGAAACTGAGGTGTCTGAGCTGCGTGAGAGGCTCCAGAGATCTGATGAGCAAGTTCTTGCCTTGGCCATACAGTATGAGGCTGTGGAGCTTGAACTCAGGAAGGCACAAGCTCAGAGGGACAACCTCAGAGCCTTCAACCTCGAGCTGCAGAAGGAGTTGGAGGAAATTGAGCAAGGTACAGCTTCTCCTCTCCCACTCACTGCCCCATGCTGTCTCACCAGCTGAGGAGCTGTAGCTGGATGCCTCAGCTCCATTCCCCCCAAACTCCAGGCCCTGACAGAGTCTCCAGGCTCTTGGCCTCTCTGGAGCAGGGCTGCACAGGCATCTCCTCTCCTTTGTCTCTCTTGAGTTGCTCACCATGTACAAGGCCAGGACCAAACACACTTTCCTATCCCTCTGAACCCTTACCCCTTCCATTCCTGTCTTTTTCTCTGCCTGGAATTTTCCTTCATTTCTGTCAGCTTTGGAGTCTTTGTGGGCTTAGGGCCTGGCAAACACAGGAAGGTAGAGAAGACAGCGCTGTTGTCTCTGCATGATGCACATCAGTTTGCCTTTTCTTTGCTTTTCTCCTTCTACTTCTCCTTCTCCTTTGCTTCTGCAGAGTGGGTGCAGGCAGAAGCCAAGCACATCTCTCACCAAATTGCCCTGCAGAAAGAGGCCACTGAAAGGCAGGAAGAGGCTGTGGCTCTCCATCAGGAAGTGGCATCTCTGAGGACGAAACTGGAAAAGCTGGAGAAGGAAAGGAAGAATTGGTGAGATTGGTGCTGGTGAGATTGGCAGATGCCACAAAGTGCCATTTCCTAGCTATGTTTTTGGACCTTGTGTTAACTGTTCCAAGGAGCACCTTTTCCCAGTTCAACTTTTGTAATTGCATTCTTCTGAATAAGGAGAAGATGTTGTAGTCATGGCAAAGCCAGTTAATGCTGAGGCTGCTGCTGGTTTTCCTCCATGCTGGGCTTCTGCGAACTTAAACTTTTAGTTCTCAAAGACCACACTATCCCTATTGACATTGCAGGGTTTGGGGAATTCCTGGTGGCCAATCCCATGTTCAGATTTCTAAATATCTGGATCTGGAAGGAGGGGGGAGAGTCCCAAGTTTGCTGTTAATAGAAAGGTGTTTGGCCTTGGCCATCGGAGAGCAGCCAGTGGGGAGAGAGGAGAGGAAAGGCAAGTGCTGATCCCCAGCAGGACGTGTGCCTGCAAGGGGAGAACTCATCCTGAGTGGCAGCAGAGAATGACAGACTGATGTGGCCATTGCTGCTGCCAGAGAGGGCAGTGGGGCTCTGGGGGATGGAGCCATGGAAACTCTACACAGGAGAGGTGGGAAACCACTGCTGTCAGCCCAAGGGCAGGGAATGAAAGGCTGGGGCTGTTTGCTCTTCCCTTCCTCCCTGATGGAGAGCACATCCTCGTGGCACTGCCTGAATCCTGCTTAGCGTGCACTTGCAATCCTGGCTGCAGTTCTGGCAGCTCCTGCCCAAAGGAGCACTGGAGTGGAGCTGCAGGAGGCCAGGGAAGGGCAGAAGGGAAGCTGGGACGGGCTGAGTGAGCTGGGAAAGATGCAGCATCCAGGGGGCCCCAGCAAAGCTCTGCAGCATCCTGAGGGGCAGAGAGAGAGGGGCAGCCTGTGCCTGCCCCTGCAGCAGGAGTCCAGATCTGGTATGAAAAGCAGAGGGAGAGAGGGAATGAGTGACCCTTTTTCTCCCTGTTTTGGCAGCATGAACGGGAATTGTACCAGCAGCAGATCAGATATCTGGAGAAGAAGAATGAAATGCATTCACTCAACATGCAAAGTCAGCAGCAATGATTCCAACCCTTGGACTGTAAAAAGGAAACCCTGCAGGAAGAGCTGAAGCCTGGGGCTGCTGCTTTGAAGGATGGAAGTGAGAGAACTCTGCTGGCTGCCCTGACCAAGGGTAAAATTTCCAAAGGGGCTCTGCAGAAACGCTTGGCTTCCTGAAGGGACAGACTTGTATCCAGGCAGGCACTGGCATTGGTATTCAGTAGAAGAAGAGAGAGAGACCTGAATTGTCCTCTGTGCCCAGGAGAAGTGGTGAGCAGGTAAATTGGGCTTTGACTGCCTCTGCACAGCCTCAGGCTCCTCTGCAACTTGGCACCTTAGGCCAGGCAGTGCTTTGGAGACCTCTGCTTGTTCCCTTGCCTCTCCCTGTCCCTGCTGTGGCCCAGCCCTTTGTTTGTTCTCTCTCTTGTGGCAGCCCATGGCTTTCACAAGGGCTTTCACTGCGCTGCCTCCCTCCCTGGCCCCGTGTCCCTGCACACACACACTGGCCTCTCTTGCACAGCCTCCAGCGAGAGCTTTTTGCCCCCAGTGTGGTCTGGTGCAGTTCAGGGTCTCAGAGCAGGGATCTCCTTCCTTGATGTCCAGAGGTGCTTTTGCTCCATGTTTGCTGACAGCTTTCTGTGACCCTCTCTCCCATACAATGTGAAGGTGGAACCTGAAAGGAGAAGAATCAGAACTTTTAGGAGAATGTTTCCCCCAGACTACTTTACCTTGCCTTTCCCCAAGTCTGCCCATCAAAATCTGTCAACTTTTGAAATTAAGAGTCCTCCAGTAGCTCAGAGGAGCAGCAGCCTCTGTGTTGAGGCACAGCCTGTGGAGAAAGGGGTCAGTGGCCTAAATGTGTGGTCTGGAAATCAGGGCTGGGTTCCTAAATCCCTTTGGGAGTCTCTGTAATAGACCTGTGGTGGCTGAGGGATGTACGTGGGAAGGGTTTGGCAGGCTTGAGCTGGACTTGTTGATGCTCTGAGCTCTGTTGTGTGTGGGAGCCTGTTCCTTTCCCCTTGCCCAAGGGCAGAGTGTTGGTGAGGGCTGGAGTTGGAGGCTGTGTGTGCCCAGAGAGCCGGTACCGTGGGGCTGCAGGTGCTCCTGCCAGCGTGGGCTTGTCTGAGCGGGGCCTTGTGCCTCTTTCAGGTGTCCCCGCTGCAGTCACAGCTGGCCCAAGAGCGACAGCACCACCTGGAGAGCTGTGCAGGGAGCAGGCAGGAGACACAAGGTGCAGAAGGGACCTCCTTGCTTCCTGAACGTCTCAGAGAGGAGCCAGGCTGCAGCTGGATATAGTTTTAGACTTAGTCAGTAGTTTATGTTTAAAGGATAGTATAGGTGTAATTGAACCTTTATACAACTGTGTTCCATAGGATTAAGGATATATTTATAGGAAAATAAAGAGTTTATTATGATCATGAATAAAGTAAACTATCTTTGTCAGGGCTATTTACTCCACAGTGCAGAGACTTATATCTTCCAGTATAGTGCATTATGTCTGAAGCAACATTGAAGCAATTCCAGTCCAGCCAGCAAAACCAAGTCTTAATTAAAGATTGATACTACTCACCCAAACCAATGACTACGAGCAAACATTTCTCTCAGGCTCAAGGCGTGACCTTGAGGAGCATCCTCACTCCAGGGAGGAATCTGCAGAAGGGAGACATGTGCCATGAAGCACTTTGGTGAGGGCAGGAGAAAGTTGCCATGTGTGGAGCTTTTTCATTTGTCCTTAGGAAGCTGCAGCCTGTTTGTTCTCAGAGTGACAGAATCTCAGGCTGGGGGAGGCTGGAGGCACCTCTGGAGGTCACCTTGCCCAGCCCCTGCTCCATCAGGGCCAGCCGGAGCCGGCTGCCCAGGATGTGTCCAGGTGGCTTTTGAGTCTCTGCAGGGATGGAGACTCCCCCAGCTCCCCGGGCACCTGCGGCAGTGCTCGGCCACCCTCCCAGTGCAGCAGCGTCTCCTGAGCTCGGAGGGCCCCTCCCGTGGGTCACTCTGTGCCCGAGGCCTCCGGGCTGTCCCTGGCCCTGTCCCCTCTGCAGCCTCCCCCTGGCTTTTCATGCCCAGGCATGAGATGCCCTGAGCCTGCTCTGCTCCAGGCTGGGCAGTACCAGCTCTCTCAGCCTCTCCTCATGGCAGAGACGCTGCAGTCCCTCCATCAGCTTCATGGCCCTGTGCTGGACTCTGTCCAGTCTGTCCCTGTGTCCCGTCCTGGGCAGCCCCGCTCTGGGCCCAGCACTCCAGGGCTGCCTCACTGCTGTGGAGCAGAGGGAAAGGATCCCCTCCCTCTGCCAGCTGTGACACAGCTCCCAGTGCAGCCCAGGACGCTGTTCTGCATTGCTGCAGGAGCACATTGCTGCCCCATGGGCATCCTGGTGTCCAGCAGAACCCTGCCAAACTTCACGTTTCCAACTGGGTGGCCCCCAGCAGTCACCGCTGCCTGTGGCTGTTCCTTGCCAAGGACAGGACTCAGCACTTGTCATTGAACTGTCCCCCTTGTTGAACTGTCCCTCTGCATGGCAGCACTTCTCTCTGGCAGATCAGCCACTGCTCCTGGTGTGTGGGAGGGCACAGCCTGGCCCCCTCACCCAGTTCAGTAACAAAGGTGTCAGGAAGGACTGGGCCCAGCATTGTCCTTCCAGCATCCTCCGCTAGACTCTGTGCTACTGATCACCAGGGTTCCAAAAAGGTAGAGTCTGTACAAGGCATCTTTGCTTGTATGTACTCATTCAGAAAGAATTGGCCGGATTTACAACAGGGATTTCTGCTCCATATCTTATGTGGGAAAAATGGAATGATCCACGCTCCCTCTCACTGGTGGTGGGTAAAGTGGTCCAGGTGGCAGTGGATGTCACCTGCACAGGAACTGTGCCAGACTGGTGTGACATACTGTGGGAAGGAGCACTCTGAGGGAGGTAAAAGCTGGGCTGTAGAGATCATTCCAAGACTATTCTGCAAGCCATAGAAGGCCGTGTTTTGTGAAGATCAGGAACAATTCCTAGACAAGGGCTGAAGCTGCATACATCTGTGAGTTCCTTTACCTCCTAGCTCAATTTCTCCATTAATGATAGCAGATTGTCCTGGTTGAAAAGACAGATGTCTTCCAAGGAAGCTGGGAATCTTCCTGGAATGCACAGATAGCCCCCTCCCTCCAAATCATTACAACTTGAAAATTCCGGGCCTCCAGGCAAAGATATGGGAAGAGAAATATCAGTTCTTCACTAGAATATAAAGATACGTGTATACAGGTGAAGAAGAGAGAACAAGCAGCAGTGCCCCCAAAGCAATGCCAGACTCTTCCCACCCGTTGGGCAGTTCTGCCTTTGCTGTAGTTCTGAGCACACCGGGCAGAGGGCGCTGTGAGCTGAGGCGGGGCAGAGGGGCTGCAGTGACTCTGCCCTGGCTCCAGGGGGCGCTGTCGATCTTAAATTCTAAGCTCGCATCAACTCACAAATTTTTTTTTTTGTTTTGAATCTACTATAAATCTCTTGTGCACTTTGGTAATCATGGTTACTTAACCTTGTTACTTTCCTTGGTTTCTTCAGGTTGGTCTGCACGGCAAGTACTGTTCTACTAAAACAGATAAATAAGCATAGTAAAAAGAGCAATCCTCCAAGTATACACACAGCGAGAAAAACGACCTTTTCCCATACATCCTTTTTGAAAATCTCTAGGTTCTCCCACCCACTGGGATCAAGTGTAGGAGTTTGATCTCGATTATTTGCACATGTTAATCTTTTTATTTCGTTTGAAATGTTCCTAATAATTGAATTCTTTATTTTTAAAACTGCCTGGAGCCGGATTACTTTGTTTAACATAGATATTGAAATCCGAATTTTACAATCCGGGCTTTTACTATTTTGGATTTTCTCAATTTCTATTTCACTTTCCCGGTTCTGTTTATTTTCTCCCAAATCATTATATATAGGAACTCCCAAATTTGATCCAGTTTCTTTGGGTAATAAGAAAATTGGTTTTATCACTCCAGCAATGCAGCTGCCAGACGAGATCAAACCTAGGGGTTTAGAGCTCCCCTGAAATGTGTTCCAAAAGGGGTTTATCTCCTTTCCAGTACACTCATATAAATACTTGTAACAAACAAGTTTTCTTACCATTTTCACCATTTCTTTGCTTTTTACTAGTTCTGCTGAGCTTGTTTCAGCAGCATCACATTCAAAGCACAACCAGGCTTCCCCTATAGGGCACTCTCTTAGGAGTGGCTGCCTAAAAGTGGCAGTATTGTATGCTCTCCAATACACTTTCTTATTTTTCTGTTAAAGGACCAATTGGGAGGGGTTGACACAATCAGGGTCAGAACTGATGTGGACTCTCGACAAGGAGCTCACTTCCTCCTCATAGAGGGGTTGGTAGCATTCACTGCACGGCTCAGCTGGGCTTCCCAGAGCACCACCAGCAATCAGAGCCATCAGTACTGCCCTTCCCAAGAGTCCGGTATGGGTCATCTTGCACAGCCTGCCCACCCGGCCTTGCCTCTTGGGGAATTTTACTGAGGAGAAGCTTCCAAGCTCTTTAGAGTCCCTTCTACCCGCTTCTCTGGTTAAACCTCTCTTGGTCTGTTCCCTACCAATTCTGGTTTCCCCTCCCAGGGGAGTGCTCTGTAGAGGATTAACCTGGAGTCTTTAGAAATAAATTGGGGAACTTAACCAGAATTACTTATTTACAGTCTTAAACTTTTTACCGACATAGTTTACACATAACAGTTTTGAAACCTTTTAAACAATATTAGAACTCTTGATACCAATTTTTTTCCCACACAGTTCAGTCTTTTTGACTCTTCCTTCTGAGAGTCAACTTTAAATCACAGTATACTCAGGTGAATTAACTTGTGAAGCAGATGAATCCTTATCCAGTGCCCGGAGGTGAGAGTGGTGTGGACTCTGGCCCAATGCCAGAGGGAAAAACTGGGAGTCTGGCCCAATGCCAGAAGGAGAAAGGGGTGGAGTCCGGTCCAATGCCAGAGGGAGAATGGGGTGCAGTCCGGTCCAATGCCAGAATGCCAGAGGGAAAAAAACCTGATGTTGAATCCTGGTCCAATGCCAGGGGGTGAGAGTGATGTGAGTCCAACCTTTTTCTTTTAGTCTGCACAGTCGAATTAGTAATGAAGAGTACCTGAAACGGGCTTTCAAACACAGGCATTAATGGTCTGCTATTTAATGATTTTATCAAAACTCAGTTTCTCTGTCTAATGTTATTGCTTAACTTCTCTTTTTCCATAGAATGTTTGAATGTTTCTCTCATCAACTTCTACATACTCTGTATTTTGCAAGGAGTTGTATTTCTGTTAGCTAACTTAACTCCCAAAGTACTTTTATTCTCCTATTTTTTCTGTGTATTTAATTCACTGGTTTTCTGTTCTATTTTTCAAGATCTTATTTATCTCTTGCTTCTGTTTCTTACTTTCACTTAGAGCCTAAATATTTCTTTCAACCCCTTACACTTAAATTTTTGGGGTTTTTTCTTACACCATTCTTCTACACAATACACTTCCCTCTAAGGAAATGTGGTAAAACTTATAATGCACAATCTACATTACCTCTATTCTAATTTGTCTATATTCACTCTCACACATTCCTTCACACCCTCAAGACACAAACTGGATCCTTATTGCTAGAAAATCACGGGTCCCTGTAGCCCCCCTCACCCTGGGGTTGGCCCACAGGTCTCAGTATCCCTGGGCCTCTTGGAAGGGCCCTGACTCTGGTTGCCTCTGGTGCCCATTCAACTGTGAGGCTGTCTGCTTGTCACTCACACTCTTACAGCTACAGCTCCCTCACACACCTGAGGAGAACTAGTCTGGTTTGCTGGTCACACACACACTTCAGTCACAGCCCCGACCTGCCTGGGGAACAGTATCCTGATATTGCAGGTCACACACACACACACACACACTTCCACTGCCCCCTTCCCACCTGCCCGGGAAGTTGAGGCTGACTTTGCTTGTGACTCGCTCTCACACACAAGACAACAATAAGGTACCTTTTACTTTCACATCACTTATTACAAGTTAAGTATTACTGGCCAGTTTTGGTGCTACTGGATATTCTTTCTACCTAGCTGGTTTTTGTCTAACTTCAGATGTTTTTCACTATTCTATACTATACTTCTTAGTACTTTGTTGAGACAGGACTTACCTGCTCCTGTATCTACTCAAAAATTCAAATTCTTCATTTAGGGGGCCCACCTCAAAGTTTACCAAGGGGCTCTTCTAGA